AGCATGCCATCCTAAGAGGCTTTTTAGTTCCACGACCGGTTAATTAAGCAAATTATAATGGTGTTTCAATCAAATTTTCATTTTGATTCATATGGCCAACAACAAAGCTATGCTTGCCATAATTATCCTTAGATACTTATTATTTGCTATTAATTGAGAGTTCAAACGGAAGAATAGATTTTTTTTAGTAACAATGCAAACTCGGGTAGAGAGATTGGATATGGCTATATATAGAAGTTGGTTGGTCAAATATGGATATGGTCTCTAATTGAAATAGGCAGACATTGTGACTTAGCTTTAACACTAGCACTGAAGTTCGCAACTTTTTTCTTTTAACATTTGTAACTTATCTTTCAGCTTTTAAACAATATTTATCATCAACATAATTTCTAAAATAATCTAGCGCATGAGATCATATTTTCTAAAATATGTTTGTGTGCTTTTTTTGTTTTATAATATTAAAATAAATTTATTTATTTAAAAAAACAAATTTTAGGAATTTTTAATATTTCAAAATAATTATTTCATAAACCTTAACCCAGCTCATGATACTGCAGCTCCATGTCTTCCTTCACAATCAACTTAATTTCAACTGCAAAACAACAAGCAAATGACAACAATAATAGCATTGAATGCATAATTTCTAACAACTAAAAAAGTTGAAGAGCTCGAATATTTTTAGGCTACCAAATGAAATCAATTTGACTTGAAATTTTTAAAACTAACAATAAGTGACGATGGCGCCAAAAAAGTTACAAGTGAATTACAAGTTGTCTGATCATTTTACAAAATGCAAAACTCAATGTGCCATATAACATACTTTAGAAATTTAGCACCGAACAAGTATTTCCCAAGGAAAACAGTTGCTCTAATATCAATATTTAGGATGAATGTGAAAATCGAATGTGCATTGAAATAGAACTAAAATGAAATATAAAAGCTTATGGAATTATTAGAGATAGCATGGTGCACAAAGACTTGAACATAAAAGGCCAAACCAAAGGTTAATAAGAAGAGGGTAACCGACCATGCTTTAGATGTGGGAGGAGTAATAAATGGGACGTATTTAAAAGTTCATGATAATTTCCAAGAATTTTCAAGAAGGTTCCATTGCAAAGCATTTAGTTGAAGTCAATAGCCAACTTAAATAACTAACAATTAAATGAAAGGTGAAAGGAGAGTAGAGGCAAGCCCTGAGGAAAAATGTTGTGGCAAGTCAAGGGTTGGCTAACAAGCCAAAATAATGATGTACAAGTCAACTTAGGAGATAATGGTCAATGGTTGACCATTGACCATTATTAGTTAGTTGGGCAAAAGCTAAGCTGTGCGATGACTAGGCTAGCTCAAAATTCATGTCCTCACAACCAAAATCATATAACACAAAACGTCAAGCAAAGGGCAACAACATAAGACTCAAACTCAAAAAATGGCCTAACAACACAAATGCACAAAATATAAGTACAAAAGAGCGTACATGTGAAATAAAAAAAATTTGGTTTGAATGTTTTCAAACACCTTCATATCACTTCCATTGAAAATTAAAGAAGAGTGAGTGGAGACTTAAATCAATCATGCAATTAAAAGTAGGGGGATTAAATATATACCAAACAATATATATATATATATAAGGTTGTATGAGAGGGTCCAATAGAGGCACCCTACCCATACAATACTAAGTACAGTAATGACCCCAACAAAAAGATACAGATAGACTCAATAAAAATTTACAAACAAATTTAAAACATACAGAAAACAAGTAGCTAGGGACAAGACAGTTTAGTCCCGCCTCTTCCTCTAGTTTTAGGAGCAGAGCCAGAAAACAAACTTTGAAGAATCATGCAATTATCAGGAGTAACCAAAGTATCATCCATTAAGTTTCCAAGTTGGAGTGTGCCCCCAGCCTTCTTCTTCCGCCGAGAAGTGTAAATCTGTCATTCTTCATCTGAAGACTGGCTCATGTGATCTTCGGTCTAATTAGATATTATAACCGCAGTAAGAGAAAAGGTTGTTATTGTCGTAGCGATGAATTCCAGTTTATGTGAAGTGTGAATTGTCACCTCGGCACTTGATGCTTCCTGAATAGGAGCTGCGAGGCTATCCTGATTTTCAGTTCAAATATTATCCATTTTAATATGGTCAGGACAATGAATCCCAGCGGCAGGCACCAACTCCTGTCTTGTGTTGATTTCCTCCTCGGGTTGGTTGTCATTAGGTTTGTTGAAAGCTCGTTCAGGCACGTGGGGTGCACTAATTGCATGTTTTTGCTTTGACTATTGGTTCTCAACTGTGGGTGCAATCTGAAACATTTCTCCTGCGGGTGTCCAAACATCTTACAGTGCTTGCAATAATAAAGTTTTTGTTTCATAATAATTTTTTGCCAATAATCATTGTGAGTAGAGCCAAGCCTAACTTATTCTATATTTGGTAGCGTAATATATCTTTCAATCAAAATTTTTGCAATAGAAGGCCTTGAGAAATGAACTGTAGGTAAATCTACCTGCAAAGGTTTTCCAAGGGTAGTTTGAATTGCATATAAGATAGTTAGGTCAAAGAATTGAAGTTTGAGTTCAGGTAATGAGAATCATATAGGGGCAATTGGGGGTTCTTGACTGGAATCAAAATTAGGAGTCCATTTGAGCAATTTCATTTGCCTTGATTATGATAAATTTCTTTGAGAAAATCTTTGCGTAATCTTCTTCTATGCTCAGTTGTATTATAACATGTCTTCCGTCGAAATGACCCACATGTCAATCTCCAACCAGTTTGAAATCTTCAAAAATCTTTCTGATAATGTATATCTTAGGGCAACCTAATTGGAACTTTCCAACTAGTGTAAATTTGTGTTTTTCTGTACGAGTTAAAATTTCAGAATCAGAGAAGAATATTGTTGGTTTACCAATCTTTTTCTCTACTTTTTTTATGAGATTGCAATCTCCATGTCATGTAAAAGAATCACGGTACTTCTGCGGGAATATCAGACTATCTGCAAGGTGGAAAAGAGAGTTGCGCTTGTGAACCACTGTAGAATAGAAGGGTTTGGTGGGGTTATCACCGGTGAGGGCGGCAGTGTAGGAAAGTCCTGAGACCATTAACATGCTTCACACAAGCACTGCAGCGACTGTAGCCTACAAACGAGACGCTAGCAGTCGAGCAGGTCGAGCAGAAACTCTGACGGAGCAGTCGAGCAGAACTCTGGCGGAGCAGTCGAGCGAAGTGCCGCAGATGAGAAGTCTCCTTTGGCAGGGCAGTCTAGTAAGAGGTGCAGTACTAGACTTGTTGAAAAAGACTTTCAGCAGAGGCAGAATACTGCCCATGCAGTGAGAGTTGTAAATAAATACAAGAGTAACCCAGAAAATGGTTTGGAGGTGCAAGACTATGTTGACCCTACTGATATGTTGACTAAGAATGCTACTCTTGAGAAACTGAAGTTGTGCACAGCTTCAGCTGGTCTTATGGTGTAAAGACAAAGGCTTTGAGTTGCAGAGATGGAGAATTCATGTTTGAAGAAAAGGGCGACGCCGCTAGTGGAGGATGTTAGTTTGAGGAAGAAGACGTTGTAGTCTATGTACCGATCTTCAAGTGAGAGATTTGTTGTATGGAGCCCGGTTCAAGGAACAAAAAAAAAAGAAATACCTGTTCCGCTCCCGCTCCCGCTCCCGCTTCAGTCTCCTTTGTTTCGCGAAGCGAAGCGAAGCTTTGCCCAATCGTCACGCCTCCCTGTTGTTCGCGTAACCACTCCTGTCTTCCCTATTTCCGCGAAGCAAAGCAACTCTTCGCTTGTTATAAGTCGCGAACAGAACAACATCTTCCTTACCTTTGATCGATTGCTTTCGCCTGTGTGGTTTGAAAGAGGAAGAAAGGTATTGTGAAGTATCGCACGGCTCTCCTTCTGATTTTGCTCAACCCTTTTTGTGTTCTTCTTCGGCAGTTTTGCTTCCACGGGACAGAGGAAGATGAGTGTAAGGAACAGTTACTTGCGGCAGAAGGGAGAAGAAAGAAGAAGATGAAGATTGTTCTACCTTGGCTTTTTCTTGGTGGCTTGTGGCAGAAGATAATTTTGGTTTATTTCTCTTGTAAGTTTATCTTCTTCGGTGTATCTCGATGTAGAGAGAGAAGAACAGAGAGCAAGTGAGAGATCCCTCTTGTAAGTCGAGACGATCGACTAGTGTAAATTCTTAAAGTAGTAAAATCATCTGCAACACTGTGGACGTAAACAATTTGCCGAACTACATAAATCTATGTGTTTCACTGTGTTACTATTTTCTGATGTGAATTTTCTCGTTCTATTTTTTGCTTCGTCAAAGATTGTTCTTCTTGTTTATATTTATATATAAACCACAACACAAACCTCTCTACTAATTTTGTTTTTTTTTATTAGGATGATGATAGAGATCCGTAAGCGTGAGGCGTCATCAACAAATGAAGAAACTTTAGCGTATAACTGCTTAATATCCTGATACAGGATGGTAGCTTCTCTCAGTTCATCAACTTTTTTCTCCGACAAGTTGAAATGCTTTCGAACAGCTACACTCTCTTTACGAAGCTGGTTGTCTGGTTGTTACAGCTGTGTGAAAACAATTTTAAGGCAGGTGTTTCTAGAAAAATGACCATTCTGCTCCCGTTTAATAAAGTAGTTTAACACAAAATTGTACCAACCACATATTTGATACTTCAGAAGCAGAAATTCATTTCAAAACAAAATAAAAGTTCAGATACACAACTCACTTCACAGTGAGCATCGAAAGTGCTAAAGATTTTTGTTTGAAATATTTGCACATTTGCCACACATTCTTATGTATTTACATATAATCTTTCAAAAATATATCTATATTAGAAAGGGAATTGATTTCTGTGAGAGATTGAATGAATAAACTATACTTAAGAATATATAACAAAATAACACATCACAAGAAAGAAAAAAAGAACATTTTGATTTGTGTCTGCAACATCTAATATATTTTAAAACAAACAAACAAAAGAAGAAGAAGAAGAGCAATCACCAGTTTACATCAGGAGCAATACTTTGAGCAAATGAAGAAATTAAAGAATAAGAATCTTTCGTTTCATCACCTGCAAGAACTAGTGAGAATTAAGCAGAATAAAAGCATAGAAATAAAATTGAAAAATCCTCGATTGCTACCTTTAACATCGTCAGGCGCCAACAAGGTAATTCCTATGAATATAACAAAAGCAACGAGTATGTGAACAAACTATGAAAATGATAATTGCTGCTCATGGGCAGCCTAAGCATGTTAGATCTGGAAAATAACAAAATAACCAGTCAAAATGACTCCAAGAAAAACTAGATCACAAAAGATAAGAAAGATGTCTTAAAAACATAAATTTGAAATTCCCACTAAATGAACAACTTACAGTGACTGACTTACAGTGAATTTGCAAATAAAACTGAGCAGGATCAGATTGCACCAGACACAATGGCATAGGAAAAGGGCAATATCATTCTCCAATAAGGGTTAAAATCATTCCCATACACTGAGAGACAGGCTGCTCCTTTCCTAGAAGTTCCATTGATCATTCTTAGTTAGAATTATCATACTTCTCACAAATAAATCACAGGAAGACCAAATAAAAAACCAAACAAAATACAGAACTTGAAACCTCAGTACAACAAACAAACAACACATCACCTGTACTTATAGTGATTTATTATAACCACCACAATCAACATCAGACAATAAAGAAGGAAAACAAGATTGCTATACTTCTCTGCAAGTTGCTTTGGAGTGTAAACTAGCAAAAACTAAAGCCATCAGGCAATCTGTTGATAAATTTATCATTAATAATAGAAATTACATGCAAAAAATCTGAATTGTGTATCACTGAAATATCTCTGAATGTATATAGCAGCTAAAGGCAATTTACTACTACTGGATAAGAGTGAATAAATTAAACCGAAGGTATTCATTATTTTTAATTAAGTTAAGAGTTGATAACAGGTGATTGGTGATTTCCAAAAGAAACTAAGAAAATGTTGCCAAAAACAATAAAAAATGTGTCCGTCAAAACCCTGCAAATAATTTAAGATTATAAGTTCAACTTTTACAACAAATTGTTATCTTTAAACAAGTCTTTTCTTACGAGTTTATGGCATCTCAAGAGTAGCAAACTTGATAGTCACCGTCTTACTCAGTACAAAGTAAGAAAATGCAATATTAGATACAAACTGAATTAAACCCAAAGCTTAGCAATATAATTAATAAAACCTTCCACTTTACTGATTTATAACATATTGCAAGCTTAACAATATAATTAAGAGAATCTTCCACTAAACTCCTCATACAAGGACTCAATCAGATCCTATTAATCACGAGAACCAATCGGAAATGAGCCCACTAGAGTACACCCAACAAATATAAAGAAAGTGCAGAAAACCAAGTTTAGAAGTTATAAATTTAAATGTCTAATGTATTAAAGTGTTATTTTAAATATAAAAGTTTAGGTGTGTGATATGTAGAGACATATTGATATGGCACTTGGTGCTTAAAATTTATGTGATGTTTACAAAGCAAGAATCCTTTTTTAATTACATGGCATAATTCTTATAAATAGGTCCCTGTATAGCCATATTTTAAATGTAGAGACATGATTGATATGAATTGTATAATATTACAATCATCATAAATAAAACTCAGTAACTTTCCTCATAAGCAGTGTGACTGGTTAAACTAACAGTCGTTGCACCTATAACAAAAATCAATCAAGCAATGTAAAGGGATACTGTTTAAAAGCAAATCAAAATTATTTTCAGCGTACAAGAAATAGCATTCAATCACTATTTAAACACAGCCTAAAAAGAGAAGGCTCGGGCAAAGTGGAGGCAATCGGGTTGGGTTTAACTGGAAAGTTTTCGGACTTGGGAGAGTTTCACGAGTTCAGATGAACTCTTTCTAACAGGTGCACATTCCACGGGGGCGAAGCCAGGATTAATCGTGGGCTTCGGCTATCTGCTGTAAAAGAAAAGAGGATGCGTTGCTGCTGCTATCACCACAAGAAGAAATGGGTGATTAATCGCGCGGCTGCGGCTTAAGAGGCGCGACAAAGAGGAAGAAGAGCGAGAATGCTTCGGTCAGGAGCCGGAATCAAAGCCACTGTGAGAAGAGTTGAAAACAATCGAAGAAGAGGGTTACGATTACCTGGTTCGTCGAGGAAGAAGAAGACGCAGGGCTTCCCGAGAAGACTCGGAAACTCCATGCGGGACAGCGGGAGAGGGAACGTTCGCGACGCAAAAGGGCGGGGCAGGTAATGTTAGCGGGGGAACGCCGCACGAAAAAGACGGGCCCATGAGTTATAAGTTAGGTGCGGTGATATTAGAAATTTTTATTTTTAGAAAAAAAAAATGTCACCGTACTTATATAGGTATGGTGTAAAAATACTAATTCCAGCATTTTTAAAATGCATAAGCTGTAAAAATATAGTTTACCTAAATCGCCAAATAAGCTGCCCCAAACGGAGGATCTAATAATTTTAGTTTTTTTTTTTGTACAGGTGATGATTATCTATAATCTAGTGATAAACATATTATTTTAATAATATGCAGATTATTAGAATAAGCTTACTTGTTGTTTGGGACAGCTTATTCATAATAGTTTATTAATAGTTGTTGTTGGATAAATGACATTCATGTCCTTATTTAGTTAAAATTTTTTGCAACATAACTAAAATGAGAACATAAGTAAATAATACAGAACCCTGAAATCATCGCAAATCAATTCAGATTTGTTTAGGGTAGCTACAGCTTATTAAACAATCTGTCAATGAGCTGATTAAAATAATTTGTTTATAAGCTAGGTGCAGTGATTGTAACAAATTTTTTTTTTTTTTTGAAAAACAATATCGCTGCCAGAAAACTGTCACGGCACCTAGATAGGTGCGATCTGAAAACATTGTTTTCAGCATTTTGAAAACATATAAGCTGCCAAAACATAATTTGCCCAACAGTCCATGTGCGTTTTCAAAACGTCACCGCATCAAATAAGTTGTCCCAAACGAACCCTGAAAAGATAACATACAATACTCACACTCTTGTGAGTATCAAAAGTTAGAAAAAATGATAAATAAAATTACAACTACAATAATAAATATTAAAATATTCAATTTTAAAGTCTGACTATGTCTGTCCTCAGTTGCACTGTCAACCTGGGAAATTGTCTTATCCCGATCACTGTTGTCAGTGTACCATGTTTGATTGTCGACTCATTGGAATAAACCACAATAAGCTGAAACACCCTTGTGACAACTGTAGAACTGTCTCTTCACTGCTGTGAGGCTGACGTGCTGACGTGATGTGAGTAACGGAGCACGTGGTCCGCAGTAACACAAAACAACACTGCTTGTCCCCGTAATCCTAGAAAACATGTTGCTATAGCTGGCAAGAAAAAAACAACAAAAATACATGCAGACGAAAATAAACTTTTAGTGTACGAGATAAATAAAACTTTGTGAATCAGCTGTCATATATAACATTTGCTATTGACTCCCTCAAAGACCCAAAAACCACTCATTCATATATTGCAACAAAATTTTTTAAAAATATATTGTTTGCATTTCCACCGTAAAAAAAAAACCAACAAAGAAAACAAAATTTTCAAGGATCACAGGGAAAACATACCTTACAAATCATAAAGTAAAATCAAAATGCCACATGAAAGCTTCTATTTTCTCGAATAACCCCATTATATTCGAAAATCCAACATTCCAAAGTATAAAACTGCAATAGTTCATTTCAAGCAATCATAGGAACAAGAGGTATTACTATGGTCGAATACATACTCGCGAGAATGAAGGAGAGGAATATCGGGTAGGGCGAGAGTGTGAGGTAAAAAATAATACCTTATGTGCACCGATCTCCGTCAAAGCGAAGGAGCAGAGGATCGATTCTCCTCGAAAGGGTGAGGGCGAGAGAGATATGGGAATGATACCGCAAGAATTCTTACTCTAATCACGAAAATCATAGGCGGGACACGGGGGGAGTCCAACTTGTGAAGGCATTAAGTATACTGCGATATTCAAACGGGACGTCGCCGCTTTCAAAACGCCGCCCCCCCAAATAGGCACTTAATTTCTTTCGCTTCTCGTATGTGAATACATGCCAGGAGTTTAGGATTTAGTCATGTGTGAATGAACCCCAAGATTTTATGATTTGGTGAATGAAGGAAGAGAGAAATAGAGTATAGACACTATGAAATTTCTTGTAGAGATAATTGATAAAAATATATTTGTTTTTATTATTGCATTCTATTTAAATATGCATATTTTATACAATTACATAAATGACTGCACGCTTATGAAACTCTTCCTTAATGCAATTGATGCTCTAATTAATTGTATGAAATTTATACTATATATGCATTACAATTTAAAATTTAGCATTGCAGTAATTGGGTGACCGATTTCCTTGAATTCGGTCGACTGAGTGATGACCGCGCCATGGGTCAGTCAGTTGAGGCTGGTTGTCCGATTAGTCACGATCAAGGATTCCCGCTTGCACCCGGGTCTGTCGGGAATGTCGGCGTGCTCTGTCGTTCGAATCTTTCTCCATGGTGTATTTGTCGATTATTGACCACGTGGTTGACAGTAGACCGACAAGATGTCTTAATTGTCTGGCTATCATTTGGGCCATTCAAATATTTTTAGATTTCGTGCTAACAATTGTGGTGTACGCAAAACTGAGCATTCCAATTCTCTTTTAAAACCTTGGTTCAAATACGCTATTTGAACCTTGTAAAGAAATTCTCAAATAAAATATTTGGTTCAAATAATTAATTTAAAATTTGAGTGAAGCTTCATTTAATCATTAACTAGTTAGAGCCTATGTTCCAATGTGTCAGCATAATAATTAAAAAAAAACAAGTATTTTAAGATGCAGGGTCTAAGATTTACTTTGAAAGTTATAATGATGATATTTTTTGATGTCGTATAGAAGAATTAGAAGACTTAAATGTAAAATATAAAATTTAAGGGGTGGATATGGAAATACATAGGAATTGAGTGATATGTATGTAAATGCCCCCAATAGAGCTCCATAGAGAATGCTATTTTGAAGTAAAGGCGAACGCTGGGTGTACTTTGGTCATTTGACACCACCCGCCTGATATTCCCGCTCGGGGGCGCGAAAATCTCTTACCCACTTGGGAGGAAGAGCCGCCGAAAGAGAGGGATAGCGGAAGAGGGCCAAGTGGATAAGCTCGGAGGAAGAGGAAGGAAAGAAGGTCAGCAGAGAAGTTTTCGTGGATGGCAATGGAAGATGTGGCGGGGACTTCTGCATGGGTCGTCAGCCGTTCTTCCCACGTGAAGGTGGACTCCTTAGGTGTGCTTCTTCTCTTGTTTCTTATTTTGAAACTAAGGTTAGGGTTTAGAGGACGCGGGTTGCTTCATTTGATGCGGAGTTGATATAAGCTTTTTTTGCTCGTTGGCGATTTGACCATGTGAATTATTTGCGACAGTGGATGCGTTGACTTGGTATGGTTTTGGATGAGTTTTACCCTAAATTTACGTTTCGAATGCGCCTCAAGACTGTGTTTGGATGCTACGAAATTGAGTGGAAGTAATGAAAAAGGGGCAGCGCGTGTGTATGCCGTGGGCGCCGGGGTTGTGGTTGAAGGGCTTAAAGTTCCAATGGCTGACTTATTAACAAGCCCATAAATGGTTTGAGATTTCCTTTTACTCTTCTACTTTCCTCCAATCCAAACAATCTAATTTACCCGGCGAATCTGCATGAATTATGCTCTATTCAGTTGACCTCCTGATTAGAGCGAACTATTTTCTAGATCCATTTATAAAACATATATTCAATTAAAGTAGGATTCAAGTTAAATGGTATTTAGTAAATTTGGTAAATCAAAATTTATAAAATTTAAATATTATTAAATCTGAATTAATGTTTGGTTCAATTAAGGTTAAATTCAATTAAATTCATTTGATGTGTTTGGCATAAATCTATTTGAATTAGACTCAAACTACAGCAAATTGGAAAGGAAAGGAAGGTGGAAGCTCAGTGAGGTACATCACATAACATTTTGGTGAAATCGCAACTTTTTTGATTTGTTACATATTTTCTTGCTTAATTTTCAACGAGTATGAAATATCTTTTATGTTTAAAGTAAAGATGCCCTTGTCAGTTTTGGTACGTAAGAAAATTGTTAGTCACCGGAATTTCATCACTTCTTTTTTTCCAGCTCTTGAAGAGGTTGTTGGAAAAATTGAAGGTTCAATTCCGAAAATTGAATGGGACTATGAAGGAATTCACTACTTTGATAATGGGCCACTTACTGTACAGTACCTTCTTGTACTCGATGCTCTGAATTTCTGTTTTTGGCCAGGTACTGGTCAGCGATACCCTAACTTCTGATTTTCTTATTACAAATAAATGTTTTGTATTGTTAATAACATTCTCATTTGTTATTTTCTTTGCTTTTTTAGCCTTTTGATTAAATTATGATGCAGTTTTTGCTCGTGGAACTTTCTCGCAGGTGCTTGCCATACAAGATATGGCATATTTTATTCACTAGAATTTTTCATCACATTAGAAGCAGATCCAACACTTTGTTTTTATATATCAAGCATGGAATTTCTTGAATTAATTCATCATGATGAACCTCATCTTCATGAGCATATATTTTTTAGTTTATAATGCTTTGTGGTGGTGATATAGAATTTTCAATACCTTTCCAAACATTTCTAATTAACCTGAGTGGATAAGCTTCCTTCCACACACACAAAATGGTACTTTTTTGTTTGTTATTGTACTTATAATTTAACTCGTAAATATTGCATAATTAAAGTGCTTTGACCTGTTATGAAAAATTTTATTTATTTTCCCAACATTGTAATTGCTATATTGGCTACAACACACTATCTGAGATATGGAGATTCAATCAAGATAGGGTCAACTATAGTTGTGTAGTACATGTTAATTTTTGAAAAATTTATGACACAAAAATGAGTTACAGTTAACATTTATTATAAACAATATCTGGTGAAAATGAAAACTACTTCATTCACACTCACATTGTTATAGATTTCAAAGAAGAATGTGAACAAGAAAATGAGTAAAATCATAGATCTCATTGTATGTATTGAATATATATTGAATCAAATATAAAAAATCATAATCCCTACAATTAACCAGTACAATTTGTTTCTTGTCTTCCGGAGATGCAAGCACGTTTTTTGTCCAAAAAGTGATAGCCTTTTCTAAATTAAATTAAATTAAGACACACCATTTGCATGTCCTGCATGATGCCCTAAGAATATCTGATTGTTTGAGTGCCTCACACAATATCCGAGAAAATAAAGTTGTTAAGGCATGTGCTAGCATTGAGTTAGCCCTACATCGGATAGTTGAAAAGTATGCATTTATAAAAATAATAAATGGTTGGCTCTTATCGACAAGCTTAAAAAGGATTTAAGCAATTTATCTTTGTCCAGTTTTGGCCTTCCCTTGGAACATTGACAAGTAGAGTCAGAGCTGGCAATTTATCTTGGATTGAGCAATTTATTTGTTTTGTGCCTTCTCTGTGTCTTGGTCCTTCCACTGTAATAGAGCAATGTTTAAGAATGGATAAGAATAGAGAATGTTTTTGGCGAATGATACATGATGATGCTTTTCTGTTTGAGGGTGAGTTATTTCGATGTGGAGAGCTCTCACGTGAGGGAGAGGTTGTTAGGTTAACTTCAGCTCCTTTTTTATCACTCCTCAACAACTCTGCAAGGGTGCCCTTTCCCATCAGATACTTGGAATTGCTTTGAATACTTGGCATTGAATAAATTTGCACCTTTTCTCATCAATTTATGCTGCAGGAATGAGTTCTAATGTGTTTGAAGGAGGCATCAAGGCTTGTTTGATGAGCTTGGAAATTTGAATGATAAATTTCCAGATGATATAAGTGTCTGCTTTTTTCCCTTTTTGTTTGAATGAGAACCACTTTCTGTATTCCACTAAACTGGATGTGAAATGCATTAAATACTGCTTGAAAGGGGCTTTGTTGGCCTACAACGGAAGCAACAATAAACGTCCTGTCTATCAATGATTCCCTTTCTCCTGAAAATTTGTTCGAGGTCAGTGTTTTACCAGACTCACATAAGACATTTTCTCCTTGCCTCCCAAGTGATGAGGTAAATTAATGGTCAGTTGTCTAATATCGTTTTCAAGCAACTTAAGAAGTTACATGACTGTTAAATGATTATGCTGTATGCATTAAATTTGCATATTCATGTCACATACTAATCGAGCATGGCGCATGATATTTCAAATTTAAATGGTTAATGCGAGGGAGGCGTACATTTGTACCATTCAAATCATTCATATCACATAAAAAAATACCATCATCTTAACTTTTAAAAAGTGAAATAAACCTTTTTATGCATAGGTAAGGTCTATGTATGTAAAAGTTGAAGCTTGAGTGTTAGATATGTAAAATGGAAATACATAAGAATTGAGTGGCGTGTATGTAAATCTTCCTTAAAAGAATCTGGAAATGAGTTGCACTCCCCAAAACCATGTATCTTAAGTTCCTGCACGTTTGGGTTGTTCCAATTTTGTTTTTTTTTTTTGTAGTCCTCCACCCCCTATTTCTCTGGTACCGAAGGACATGGTCCTTTATTTTTTGTGAAAAAATGACTTAGAAGAGCAGTTGTTATAAACAAAAGGAACCTTTTTATTTAATTCAAATTTTGACTCCCTATCATATGATAAATGATGCAAATCTGAAAATATATTCTCATCCAAAGCAAAGAGAATGATGAATTACAGATATCGTGTCATTGTATTTTGTTCTATGTAAAGCATGACTCTGATGTTTGCTCCTATACATACGTGATGTGTTATTTAGTATTTTAAATAATCTATTAGTCTATCTTATTATTGCGTGTTTTCAACCCAAGCAATAGAATTCCAATCGGCACCTGTAGAGCTCAGAGTCACTTCCATAATGCCAAGTACTACCTTTTCTTAGCTATAGTTATGATGTGTTGCTGTATGGCTCCTGCTATTTGTCTGCCTCTTAAGCTATAGTTCAACACCGTTGTTAGCTGCTGCTTTGTTTTCTTTTTATTTTGTTGGGTCTATTAGCGATTCTGGAAGTAGAATTTTGGCAAGGGATTAATTGAAACTTGCTGTTTTGAGTGGTTCTTGAAAGATTACATGGGTTCTATTTTTGGTTATTTGTATAAATAGGACCGTTGATGACATATAAATTTGTTGAACGTGATTATTGAAATAAAATCTATTTTTCCTCTATCTTGCATCAAATGTGTGGATAATTATTTCCCAGGGGAAATTTTTTGTAATCGCGTGAGGCTTGGTTCTTCCCTTTTTGGAGATTTCTATCTTTATTCTTATCTTTTAAATTGTTTAGTTGTTGACTTTATGTGTTAATTGAAATTTTAGCAAGATATATATATACTGGGTTTTCTTTTTGGAAGAAACAACTCGGTTGTTCATGCATAACATTCAATTCCTATTCAGATTTTACATATATGCCACCTTATATATGTATGAAAGGTGTATTTTACCTCTTAAAAGTTAAAATGGTGGTAATTTTTATTTGACATGAAAGATTTGCTTGGTAGAAATATAAAAAGCAAAGTTTAGTTGTTAGACATGTAAATACATGGGAATTAGGTGATATGTATGTAAATGCCTATAATTTTTTTGCATTTATATTTCTTAAATGCCAAAATTTTTATGATGACCATAATATTGTGGAACAGACAAGGATTTTTGCTATGATCATCTTGCTGTTGGCCTAAAGGAAGCTTTACAGAATGACAAATCTGCCTTGGATGCAGACCGTTTACAGAGTTACACTGGTACCGTCTTCTTTCAGAAATAAGGATTCCTACAACTAATGATGAAAAAATATTTAAGTGAAATTTATGTGCGTAGCCAAAATCCTTATGTATTTACATGTCTGTGCTATTTTTGTTGTGACATTAAAGATTTGAGTGCTATTTGTAAATATGAAAATTGAGGTGTGAGATATGTAAACACATAAGAATTGTGTGCTTTGTATTTACGTGCCCCAGTTTTATTTAGTTCTACCTTTTTTTTGTGTTTCTGATATTTTAGCTCTGATCATACATTTGTCTTTCATAGTTCCGTCTTTCTCCCACTTCCTGCAATCAATTGTTGTATCTAAGCCTGTAAGCTAAGTATAATGTAATTCTTAGGTTGTCAACTTCGTGAGATGTTAAAATGGCCATCACCACTTCCATTGGAGGATGAGCGGGCACGCTTGATGCATGAGGTTTATTTCTTGATGCTCAATCTTTTTCTGCATGAGTATTTCTTTAGAAGGCTTAATGAAATTTTATCTCAATTCTTACGATTATTGTACCACCACGAGGTGCTTTTGTTTCACCTTCATCTTCCGCAGTGCGAACTTCTAAAAAATTCTCTCTCCAATCACTTGTTTTGTTATGTTTTTTTACAGTCCATGGTATATTTTGGAAAGTTTATCTCTAACGTTGTGTTTGGATGCTTAGAATTTGAGTGAAGGGAAATTGAAAAGAAGTTTTTTAAAAAGCTCCATTGTGTGTCTGTGGATTCATAATTCCATAGAAATTTTTAGTTCATTTCACTGTCTTCACTTACATTCCTTCCAAACAGATCCTAAACATTTGAAACACTCTAGCTCCATGCTTACTATTATTATACCAACTTTAGGGGGGTATTTGGTAGCGCCCCATTAACAGGATTTATCCATTAGATTTACTAAATCTAGCCAAACATAAAAAAATACAAGTTCTATGGATTTATGAAATTTTGGAGAAGGTCTGAATTTTGTTTTTGATTCATGTTACATCTGGATTTAATAAATCTAACAAGGAGGTGGATTTGCTAAATCCTTCCTGCAACCAAACACCTTCTAGGTGTATTTGTATAAACTCCATCGTCTTTGCTATATACATCAAACAGTTAATCTCTTTGATTACCTGTTTTGTTGTGCTTTTTGCAATCCATGGTAATTCTTCCTTTGCAGATTTGCATTTTTACTTATGCAGAATATGTACCAAATGAAATATACTTTTGCTTTAGGTTGGTTTGGAGCTTGAGAGAAGCTTTGGTGGAAAGGCCGCTAACCTTGTAAAAGCCAGTGGAAACTCTGCTCTATCTCTTGTTTCCCTAGTTACAAAGCATTTTCCTGGTAAGATCTTCCTCATATGTGTGCTTTCTATTCTCTTTTTAATGAATCATCCATGAATTGTCTTAATTTCATAGAAATGAACTTTTGTCTATGCAACTATTATAGTAGTGTTTTTAGGTTCTTCTTCACAATCTCATTTGGCTAGAATTTCAGAATTATATGCTTTATGGCTCAGCAGCTGGATTTACTCAGTTTCATTCTTCTCATTAAGAAACTGTATTTTTGAGTTTTTGTTGTTATTCGCCCTTGTGGGCTGTTATTTGTTTTCAATACATTGTTAAGTTTCTTCTAATGATGTAGGATGTCTTTGGGTTTATTATATTAATCTTGATCTATATGAGATGCAAAACGAACCTCACAAAAAGGAGTTAAAATCTATATGACATGAACTCTTAATCCTTAGAGTTATTCATCACTTTTGATGAAAGAAAAAAAGACAAAATAAATAAATTTAGTTGAAATTCCAATGGTCTTCTACTAAAAATGTCTAAAAATCCGGGATAACAATATATATATATATATATTTCAAGCTGAACACGAACAAACTATTCATGAGCCATTTCGAAGACGAGTCGAACACGAACAGGCTATTCATGAGCCATTTCGAACACGAGACGAACACGAATAAGATTTAGGCTCACCGAAGGTCGACTCATTTACACCCTTAATCACAACCTAACAAGAGGCTTGGAATTAACCAAGACAAGAATAAAAGATCGGATGGTAAAAATCAATTCTCTATCATTTTTAATACTAACAGTTTATTATTCAAATATTTATAAAAGAACAACTAAAGAATGCAATTAAATTAACAAAGTAGAAATTTGTACCTTTCCGGTTGTTGTTGTAGCCTGCCATACAAATTTATTCATTTTCTATTTATTTTGTTTAAAAACTTAAAACCTAAAAAAATATTAAAACAACATGATGAGTTATATAAAGATAACCTAAAAGGAAGTACACTTTAAAACTACTGTAACTCAAGGAAAATAAATCAGTTTGCATATTGGCCTTTCATATCTCAATAAGAAATTTTATAATATATTAGTCTTTCATATTTTTATAAGAAATTATATATATTTTAAAATTTGTATCAATGATGTTTACTCAATAAAAATATTCAAATCTTTTATATGCATTTGCTTTAACTTTACTTTTATTTTAGTCTCTTTGATGATCACCGTCAACAAAACCTAACAAAACTTCTGATCAATATTCTGCCAGCACAGTGGTTAGCGATCTAAATATCATAATTGTCTAGAGTTGAAAGATTCTTATCTGCCCTGGACCTATATTATCTCGTCGACACAACAGTTAACAATCTAAATATCACAATTGTCTGGGGTGGTAAAGTGTCTACTCACCCTTGACCAATATTCTCCCGTCGGCACAACAATTATTGTTCACATCACAATTAACTAGAGTTGTAGAAAAATAACTATTCGTGCGGGTACACTGGCGTTCCTTGCTTATACCATTATGAAGTGAACTTCTCTTAACATGCATATAGGAGCATTTATATATAAACTATTTCATTTTTTCATATCATACATTTTTTTCTTATAATATCTCTACCTAATAATGAGTAAATGCAATCTTGCGAAATCTATAAGTCATGAAATAAACTGATATTTGCACATTTATTAAAATTCTAAAAGTCGAGCAATAATGTGGCACACAATAATGTGACACACACACACACACACACACACACATATATAAACCTTAGTATCAACGAGTTATTCTTGGTGGATGACGTACCAATTTGCGAATTTGCTAACTTCACTTCAATTAGAGATAATTTGACTGAGATCTTCAGATTCCTAATGGACAGCAAAGAATGCTGAAAATTGAGAAGTGATTCCAAGCTTAGTTTCTCTGCTGCAAGATTAAATTCATCATCTAAACCTTAGTACTTTTTAATTTTTGTCAAATTGCTTCCTACCACGAACATAAAAAAAGTAATAAAAAGAAGTGCAATCCTCAATTATTATATTTAGATTGGAAAACCTATTGATGTGGGGGTATTTATTTATAGAACCATCCTTGGAATTGCACTAAATTGATCTATATATATATTATGAAAAACCCAAGGGCTGATTTTATTGAAATAGAAAGGATACAAAAAGGTTGTATGAGAGAGCCCAAAAGAGGCACCCTTCCCATACGATACAAGTACAGTAATACCCCAACAAAAAGATACAGATAGACTAAAAAAAAAAGTAAATCAAATTTAAAACATGCAGAAAACAAGTAGCTAGGGACGAGCCAGTTTAGTCCTACCTCTTTCTCTAGTTTTTTGAGTGGAGCCAAATAACAAACTTTGAACAGTCGTGCCATTGCCAGGAGTAACTAAAGTATCATTCATTAAGTTTCCAAGTTGAAGTGTGCCCCCAGTCTTCTTCTTCCGTCGGGAAGTGTAAACATGACATTCTTCATCTGAAGACTGGCTCATGTGATACTCGGTCTGATTTGATGTTAGAATCGCAGTAGAAGGAAAGACAGTCATTGCCATCACGATAGGTTCGAGTGTATGTGAAGTGTGAATTATTATCTTTGCACCTGATGCTTCCTGAATAGGAGCTGCGGGACTATCCTGATTTTCGGTTTCGAACATTATCCGTTGTAGTATGGTCACGAGAAGGGATCTCAGGGGCAGATACCGACTCCTGCCTTGTGATTCCCTCCTGAAGCTGGATGTCATCATGTTTGCTGGGAGCGTGTTCAGGCACATGAGGTGCATTAATAGTGTGTTCCTGTTTTTGATTATTGGTTCTCAACTGTGGGTGCAATTTGAAACATTTCTTCTGCGGGTGTCAAAACATCTTGCAGTGCTTGCAGTAGTAAGGTTAGGTTTTTGTAGTAAGGTTTTTGTTCCGTAATAATTTTTTGTCAATAACTATTGTGAGCAAATCCAAGCCCCCCACACACACATATATATACATATATATACATATATATGTATATATATATATATATGTATATATATATATATATATAATCATGAAATGATCTTACCTGTAAGGGTCGTGCAATAGTCTGATATCTTCCTAAAATAAACTGTTATGCAATTATATTTAACATACATATCTTTCTATCTTTCATATTTAAGAATATAAAGAATCTACTGTAATTTAAAGCTAAATAAACAAGAACATACATAAAAGCAAATATACATTTTGAAATAAAAAATATCACTGAAATTTTAAAAATGTAACTACACGCTTCAAGCATCAACTGTTCTACTCCAGTCGAACCTCTATTTTAATAACTTGAATTGTCAAAATCTAATATCATTCAGTAAAATTTACTATTCACATACATAAATTTCAATATTAAGCTACCACAAAACTTAAATAAGAAATTCTAACCCGATTAATGTTGCCAATTCTTCTTGTTTTCGGATCCGAATTTTTTCCACTTCAGATTTTTGAAATTGTTAAGGAGTAAAATTTATTTTAATAATCAAATAATTATTTATTTGATTATAGTTAATGTTTAATCCAAACACTTACCTTTTATGCCACAATTTCTTCTACTTTCAATGTCAAATGTTCCTCGATCTAAAAATATTATGTTTTAGCAAAACTTATCATTAACATTTAATATCATTTCAATTAACTAATTATTCAACTATATACAACACATTAAAAGTTCTAACATGTATCTTCTTTTTTTGTGAAATTAACAATTAAAATCTTTAAATCTTACAAAGCGAAAGTTCTTCAACCCATAACATCCTATCATCAAATAATAAAATCCACTATTAATAGGTTATAACATTACTTATAACAATTATTTATTAGTTATACAATAATCCTAACATAATCACTGTTAAAAAAAAAAAACTAAGAAAATAAATCCTGACTTACCTTATAAGCTTTGGTTTGGTCTTTACCCACATATCGAGTTTTCTCTTCTACTTTTTTCGAAGCTATTTCTCATCCAAAACTGTCGTTCATGGGAAAAACGAAAGAAACGAGAGAGGGACGTAAGTTTCATTTTGTTTTTGCTCAAACGACACTTATCTACAGAATGACACTCATATTATAAATTATTTTCTTTTATTATTATTATTTTATGATTATTTTCTTAAAATTAGTTATTACAGACTGAACTTTGCATGTGAGATGTGATGGTGATCCGATAATTTTGTCTCTGCACTTTTGAAACTAGAGTATGCACATCATGTCCGTAATGAACTGGCAGATAATGGTACTTTATCTCACGTTTCATCTGTGACTAAGTAGTGATCTTATCTTTTTCTTCACACTGGCATATGTGCTTCAAATTTTATTACTAAAGTAATGCACTCTTTTTTAATTTCCTGGCGTCTAATTTCACCATTTCATTTGGTGGGACGCCTTGATACTCAAAGAAATATTCCACAGTCTGGAGCCACTTGATGAACTCATCCGGATCTAACCGACCGTCAAATTATGACAAATCCAACGTTACATTAAATCCTATATTTTCAGATATTTCAGGCCAAATCTTTGAGCTAGAGATTCTTCATCACTAGAATCCACATAGTGGAAGAGATTCTTGCAATTCTTTCGATCTGACAAGTTACCATTTTGGCTACGGGTGACCCATCCAGATTGCCTCCTCTCGAAGGCGATAAGCCTCTGTTGCAGTTGGAGGATTTCCTGCCTCACATTCTCTATTGAATGTTCCTAGATACCTCTCTCATAAATGACATTATAACATTCCTCCAGATTAGGTATTCAACAATTATCTCTTCGATGATGTGATGGGGTTTGCATTTGGGTAGGTGGAAGATGGTATATAGGGATAATGTTGGGTGGGCAAGAAAAATTTTGGTGATCGGTTTGAAAATCAACAAAGAGAGATTTGTGTGGAGGTAGGGTTGGGTATTGGTGGTTGCTAGATTCCTTAGAATATGACTAGGGTTAGACTAGCTTTGGTACTAAATAATACCAGAGGTTAACCCACACAACAATAACAAAGTAAATATTATCACGGAAAGCAAATATGTGATTACAATTACACACACTTGAAAGGGTAAATACAACAATACAACACAAACTCACACTAGGTCTGATCCCGTCGGAGAATAGAGGTTGGCTGGTAGCTGCAACAAGTCGGATTGAAGGCTGGAACGGCGGAACAGCAGGTTGGACGGCAATTTTGGGAGGCGGCAACAAAGGAAGTAGGTGGGAAGGTTGGGGAATGGTAGAGGCCCGCTATGTTGAGCAGCAAGCCTAGGAAGGGAGGGAGGGAGGGAGGGAGGGAGGTGGTTGGAATTGGTGGAATTGCAGGAAACAATAGAAAAAACTGCTATTCCGGTGGTTGCATCAGGGAAGGAATGACAGAGATCGATGCGGGAATGTTGCAGATGGTTAGGGGAGGATAATCGCCACCTTGGGACTGAGACATAGCCGAAGAACCACCCAAACCCTCGGATATGACCCTTTAAGGGAGAAACTGACTCCGGCGACTGCCCTAAACAAACTCAAGCCAAAAATTAAACCTAAATCTTCAGAAAAGCAAATATATAATAAGAGAATAGAGAGGAGTGGCCCAAGAGGGCCGGCCTACTTCACAACAGCAAAAAGAGATTGAACCGGCTCAGTCCAATCGGAAGCTTGCATGATCACAAAACTGTACTGGATCGTGGAAACGGGGCGTGGTACTGTATCAGGTAAGTTGAAACGGGGCTCTTGGTTGATCAACTGGAGTGATAGCATGGCCACTGGGTCATATATGAGAAATTATCTGGTACAAAACACGGTATTTCTTACTATTTCTTACCTTCGAGAATTTCGTGCAATGGATTTTGGCATAATTTTGATGAACTTTCTCAAAAACTTAATCAAAGCCTATCATACTTATGATTTTTTATTATGATGATTCTTGGAAAGTCTTTTTTTGATCACGTTATAATGAAGATTTCAATTTCTAGACGTTTGTTTTATGAAAGCGCTCCAATACATGGTTGAAATATATGAAAACAGATCAATATAGGAACTGTATGTTTCATCATTACTTGACTTGTAGCTGTCCAAAATTGAGTCCACGTTTCTCGAGTATTTTCTTTTACTCCAAGCCAGAGTGTCTTTTCTTGTTTATTACCTCTACCAGGCTAAGTAGTATTTTCTATGATCGCGAGTCTATTCTTCTTAAATTTACTGTGATGTCCGACATACTGTATCTTTTTTTTTATGTATTTACATATCTAACACCTGAAGTTTACTCTTTTATATTTATGTCACCTAAATCTTTCATATCACATCAAAAATACTACTATTTTAACTTTTAAAATTGAAATGCACCTTTTCATGCATAGTCAAGATGGAATGTACGTAAACAATTAATGTTTTGGTGTCAGATATGTAAATACATAGGAATTGAGTGGTATGTATGTAAATTTTCCAAATAAAATACACATAAAATAGAAAGTTTGCTCTTCCTTCATGGAGCTAGTTTCCTGACTTGAATTTTCCACAAGGTTTTCGAGATCATTCCTTATACAAAGGTCACCAGGTCTTCTTCAACAAAAGAGCGCAGATTTTTGTGGCTGACTTATGGAATGCTTTCAAGGGGAAGGGATTTGGCGCCTTCCATGATATAAGTTCCATAACAATATTCGCCGATTATATTGTGCCTGCTGTGCTAAGGCAACTTGGCATTCTAAAATACAGCTTGTCTTTATCAGATTCTGTTGATTCTAATCGTGAAATAGGTTCCGGTTCTGAGGAGGAAACTGAGATTCGTGCCTCTTCAATTTATGCTGTCGAGAAGGCGAAGGAGCTCTTGAAATCCAAGTATGGGAAACAAGTAAGCCATCGCATGTTTCTCTTTGTTTTCTTTTTGTAAGATTTACGGACATATCATTCAATTCTTATGTATGTACATGTAGATCGCCTGAACTTCATTTTTTTTACGCACATCCCGCCTTAACCTTGCACATTTTAGTAGTTAAATTGTTGTATTTTTGGTGTGATATGAAAGATTTGAGTGGTATAGATGTAAAAATTAAGTTAGCTGTTTCATATCTAAGTACATGGTGGCATGTATGTAAATGCCCCTTTCTTTTGGAAAAATTATTGTATGATGAATTTGCACCAGGTGCTCAATGACAGGGTGCCACGTGGCAACTCGGGCCCCAACCGTGTATGTCAGTGGGCCCAAATTGCCACGTGGCCCCCTGTTATTGGACACCTGCTGATGCAATAATTTCTCTTTCTTTTAGGGTTGGGGTGGGGTGGGGTTGTCATATATTTTCTTTGCAGAAGAACCTATTTAATAATTGTAAGTTTACGAGAAAGTTTTTTTGCCTAAATAATGTTACGGGGCATTTGCATAAGTACCGCACAATTCATGCATTTATATATCTAGCACCTAAATTTTAATATTTTTTCTAACACTCAAAACTATAACATCACATTAAAATTATCACCATTATTGACATTCTAAAAGTATAATACACCTTTTTTTATGCATAGATTTTTGACTAGACTCTTGTTATTTGAAGAGTTAGCAGTAGTTGTAATAATATTAGGGGATACCACTCTATTCCTATATATTTACATATCTAGCGCCTCAACTTTCCTTTTTTACATTCGTACCCCCCAAATCTTTCATATCACGTCAAAAATATCACTATTTTAACTTTTAAAAAGTGAAATTTGGCTTTGTAAACATGGAAGTTTAGATGATAGATATGTAAATACAGAAGAATTGAATGGTGTTATGGGATACCACTCAATTCCTATGTATTTACATATCTAGCAGCTAAACTTTAACTTTTTACCTACACAGCATTTTATCTATGCATGAAAGGTTGTATTTCAAATCTAGAAGTTAAAAATAGTGGTATAAATATAACAAGCAAAGTTTAATTGTTAGATATGTAAATACATGAAAAAATGGTTGGTATGTATGTAAATGCCCCTAAATTTTAATTTGAATGGTACTATAATTGGGTATGGATTTATGATAATTCTATTTCTGTCTATTTATTTCTTTTAAATTTTGGGTCTACAGGTATTAAGTTTGGAATTAGATCTATGGCTTTGGTGTTGTGGCGTTAAGAATCCATCCCTGAAGCATCATCGCACGCTCTCTATTTACTACTGAATCCATCTGTTTCAGTAACCCTCAACACTCCTTATTTTTTTTCTCATCGCACGCTTTCTATTTACTATTGAATCCATCTGTTTCAGTAACCCTCAACACTCCTTATTTTTCCTTCTAATTAAGTTCAGATTTTTATTTATTTAATTTTATTTATAAATTTTGTAGCTGTGGCAGATTGAAAAGTTCTTAGGTCGAAAGCTAATTACTTGACTGCTTTCCTGGTCCACCCTAATCAGTACTTTGTGCCTTAATTTGGTTAATGACAGCATTATTGTTTGATTAAGCATTAATTTTAGGTTTTCTTAGGTTTTTTATTAGGGTCCCTGTTAGAAAATTATAGGTCTGTTTGGGACGGCGGTACGGCGGTGCAGCAACGCACCGTAATTTTGTTTGTATGATTAAATTGAGTTTTAATAGTTTTTTAAAAAATTGTCGCTGAAATCTGCGCTTTCCCACTACTCTTAGGCTCTGGCTAGATGCGGTGACAATTTTTTAGCTGCCGACTGACTTAAAGAAATAATTATAATTGCCACTGTAATTTTTTTAGCATCAGATTATTATTCGGCACGTTTTATAACTATTATTTTTTGTAAAATATAATTACAACTTGTTTTATGTTGATTTATTTAAAGCATAATGAAATTTTTTTTGATAATCAAAAACAAATTAAATAAAAAAAAAAGCAAAATAAAAAACCTCCAATCTCATAATCCACTCTTCCGTAGTGTACCAAATTACATGCAATCATCACCATCACCATCACCATCACCATCTGCTTTATCTGATTTATTTGATTTTTTTTTTTTTGTGAAAATTTTATTATTTTTTATTCCAAGGATGACAAACGCATGGACTAAAATAGACTTGAGCTATCTTCGAAAGGAGAGAAGTGTGCTTTACTTTTGCCTTCAACTTGCAAATTAAAGTTTCTCAGTTGCTTTATCCTTGCCCAGCTTCATTGAACTTCGTCAGCCTCATCCATGTCTCTGCAGCCTTTAGGCTGTTTCCCACCCTACTTTTGATAAACAAACTAATTAATGAATTAATTAATATATATGTATATATATCATGGGATCAATAATTGGTTCTGATTGATTCCTCTCCACATATGATCTATAAAATATTCTTATGTGTTGCTCTAGAGGAGTCAAATTTCACACGAAAGAGTAAAATTAGAGTGTTGCTTTGGATTGAAGGCCTAGCGATAACTTTTGATCTCTGTGGGGTGAAGAAGTAAGATTTGAGTGTTGTTTTATATTGAATACCCGACAATAACTTCTGGTCTCCGTAGTCTTTGATTATCATTTGCCAACCATGTGTAATGATGTATCCTTTAATATAATTTGAAGACGTATCTCTGAATATGATCTAGCAAAGTATCTTGAATAAGGTGTAACGATGTGTCTCGAAAATGATATAAATGAATAATATTGTATTGAAGATCTGACGATAACTTCTGACGATAGTGATTTACATCCACTGTATTCAGAATATGATGATTTTATATGAACTCTTGAAGTGTATGTGCGTCATATGATGATAAGTTTTCTTTGACATAAAATAACAAACCTGATAGAGAGGTTGCAACAACCAAACACCAACTACAATCTCTCTGACCAACTGATGCTCTTATAACAACTCACTATAACTTATGTGGTTAGTTATTATGTAGTTTTCCACTATGACATATGTGGCTGGCTGTTGTCATTTTATTTTTCTACTATAGCCTTTAGGGCTAATTGACGCTCTTGCAACGACTCAATACAGTGTATGTGGTAAGTTACTATTATAACTATCCACTACGGCCTACGTGCTAATCACAACATTTTACTATAATCTTCGTGACCAACTGATACTCTTACAATGACCTACTATGACCTAAGTGGTCAATTACTATTGTAACAATCTACTACGACATATGACTAACTGTTATAAATATAGTCATCCACTGTAGCATTTGTGGCCAACTGACGCTCTTGCAACGACCCACTACGACTTATGTGTTCAGTTACTACTGTAACTACCCACTACGAAATACGTGACTAATTGTTGCTACTACAACTTTCTACTATGATATCTATGACTAACTAAAGCTCTTGCAGCTACCAACTACAATATATGCAGTCAGTTACTTTTACAACTTTTAACTATGGCTTATATGACTAATTGACGCTCTTACAACTATAAATTACGGCATATGTGGCCAATTATTGTTTTTAACTTCCCACCACGACTTCTGTAGTCAATTATGTTACTGCAGTCACCAACCACGACCGTTGAAACCAATTTCGACTATGTTGTTTTGGACTGAAGACACGATAATAACTTCCGACTTCCGTAGTTGCTGACCATCATCCACCGGCCACCTTCAGTGCACTTTGTTGTGTAACGACGTATCCCTTAATACAATTTATAGATGTATCCTTGAATCTGATGTAACAAATTATCTTAAATAAAGTGTAACAAAGTATCTCAAATACAGTGTAACGAAGTTTCTCTAAACTGATATAAACGACTAACGTCATATTGAAGATTCACTATAACTCCCGCCGATAATGGCTTACAACTACCTTGTTCAGAATACGACGATTTTCTCTGAACTCTTGAAGTTTCTATATGTCGTATAATGACATGTGTTGTCTCCAACATAAAATAACAAATCTGATAAAAGAGTTGTAACCACAAACCAGTGTAACACCAACTACAACCTCTCTGGCCAACTGATGCTCTTGCAACAACCCACTATAAGCTATGTTGTTAGTTACTATTGTAGCTTCTCACTATGACATACCTGGCTAGTTGTTGTCATTATAGTTTTATACTATAACATATGTGGCTAATTGATGCTCTTGCAACGACCCAATACAGTTTATGTGGTCAGTTACTACTATAACTACGCACTACGACCAACATGGCGAACCACTGTCATTACAACATTCTACTATAATCTTTGTAGCCAACTGACGCTCTTACATCGACCCACTATGACCTATGCGGTCAATTACTATTATAACAACCCACCACAACATACGTGATTAACGATTACATTATAGCCATCCAGTAAAACATTTGTGACCAACTGATACTCTTGCAGCGACTTACTATGTAGCTACAGTAGTAGGTTATGTGGTCAATTATAACTGTAACTGCCCACTATAACCTACGTGATTAATTATCGTCATTGCAGACTTCTACTACTAAATGACCAACTATGATTTATTTGACTAGTACCTTTTGCAACTTCTCATTAATCTAAGTGGCCAAATTGATCCTCTCATCGCTGCTACCAAACAGACCCTTAGGCTTCTGTGGTCAACTTATGCTACTGCAGTCAGCAGTCATTACCGATGCAACAAATTACAACTATGTGACCAAATACCAGTACAACTTTTCAATATATTTAAATTTAATCTCTATAATGAACTAATACTATAACAAATACTAATTACAGTTGTTAAGATTATGCATTCAACTTTTAAGCTGTTTTTTTTTTTTTAGCGTCTGATTTTTGAATGATGCGCAACATGTTGAGTGGGGCCCACTCAGCCTTACAGATTTACTACTGGCAGCCGCGGGGACACGGAACCGCCCGGAGAACCTGAACTCCCGCCAGGCTAAACTTAACTACAGTTAATGTAACCTCACCGTGATTATTGTAACCCACCAGCATCATCCGATATATAACCGTTTCCCTTGTATCTTCTTCCTCCGACCTTTTCCCTCCTTGCTTAAAACGAGTGAAACTGCGGATAAAAAAAATTCTCACTATCTTCATCATGTATAGATGATCGATCAGCGATGAGCTGCAATGGCTGCCGAGTTCTTCGCAAGGGATGCAGTGAGTCCTGCATCCTCCGGTCATGCCTTCAGTGGATCGAGAGTCCCGAAGCACAGGGCCACGCCACCGTCTTTGTCGCTAAGTTCTTTGGCCGCGCAGGCCTTATGGCTTTCCTCTCCTCCGTTCCCGAGGAAAATCGCCCTGGTAGGAATCTTAGAACCCCAATCTTCTCTTGAAAACATACTTAAATCGTTTTTGTTTTCTTGATCGTTCAGCTCTCTTCCAATCTCTGCTATTCGAATCCTGTGGGAGAAGTATCAATCCCGTAAGCGGAGCAGTAGGGCTGATATGGACGCGGAAATGGAATCTATGTCTTGAAGCGGTGGAAACAGTTTTGCGCGGCGGGACGATCCGACCGATATCGGAGCTCCCTGAGGTCAGAGCTGCTGACGATGAGGAAGTCTATGGGATGTGGCCGAAGTCCCCTTTGATTGGAAATCTTCTATCTCATGTTAAGTGTGATCTGGAACTTTATCTTAGGTTACCTGTGACGGAAGAGAAGGAGATGCCAGGTACGCCGTCGATGAACTCCAGTACTACCGGCGATGAGGATAATTGTATTGATCGTGAGCAGAGGGTTTTGAATCTTTTCGTCTGAGGTTGGGTTCGGGTGATAAAATACGGGTCCGGTTTTGTTGATATCTTCCACAACCCGTAATTGAGATTTCATCCTCCGGTTTATCAACGTATGAGAAGTGCGACTTCCATTGAGTTTCCTTCTTTTCTCCGAGTTATGTTACTTGATCAGAAGAATGATCAAATTGCAACTCCCTAAATGATTTTTGTGAGGGGAGTAGGATTATGGATTATGTCTCTTGGGATTGATGGAAAAACTTTGGGTCGGGATGTCCTGATACAAATTGAGTTGATCTGGACAAATATTTTTTAAAAGTTAATTCATATAAAGTTTATTTCGATTTGTAAGCGTGGATCCCTTTTATTTGAAATGGTTTTAATGGTTAACAATTGCAAAGGGAAGGAGATGAGAAAACAAGGGAGACAAAAAGTGGCTAGGGTTTCAAATCTACCCCATTACCTCATTACAAGAGTATATATATGTACAATATGGAAAAAACTAAACTACCCTTAATTGGTAAAATAATAGAAATACAAAATTATATCTAACATCCCCCCTCAAACTCACGATGCATCAAGGAGAATCATCGAGAGTTTGCTAATCAAAAAACAAAAACGTTGAGTGGAATGTGATTTCGTAAACACGTCAGTAAGTTGCATGGAGGAAGAAATATAGGGTAAGGTGATGGTGCCATGCTGAAAATGATGACGAGTGAAATGACAATCAATCTCAATATATTTGATTTGGTCATGAAACACTGAGTTGAACACTGAGTTGCGGGCAATTTGTATAGCACTCTTGTTATCACAGTACATAGGAGTTGGGCTATAAGAAACCCAAAACAAACGTTTATAAGCCATATCAGCAAGTAACCAACGCAATCAAACAATTTCTGCAGTGGTGGATGTCATGACACGATACTCAGCTTCGGTAGAAGAGCGAGAGACAACTGCTTGCTTCTTACTCTTCCAAGAAATGAGAGAATCTCCTAGAAAAATACAAAATCCTGTGGTAGACTTACGATTGGTGGAATCACCACCCCAATCAGCATCAGAGTAGGCACGTAATTCCAATGAGGAAGATGTAGGAAAGAGAAGGCTCTGAAATTGAGTGCCCCGAAGATATCGAAGAATGCGAAGAACTGCTGCCCAATGAACTGTAGTAGGAGAAGCAACAAATTGACTCACAACATGTACTACATAAGAAATATTAGGTCTAGTGATGGTAAGATATACCAAGCTGCCAACAAGTGTACGATACAAAGTGGGATCGGACAAAGGAACACCATCAGAAGAGTTATAATGAGCATTAAGCTCAAGAGTAGCAGTTGTCCGAGTATCAGATAGATGAGCTTGTTCAAGGATGGTGCCGGTGTACTTAGATTGGGAAAGAAGATAACCTCTAGAAAAATGAACCACTTCAATTCCCAAAAAATATCGAAGAGTACCCAAATCTTTCATCTCAAACTGTTGAGCTAATTGTAATTTAACTCTGCAATCTCATTATCATCATCGCTTGTGATGATCATGTCATCAACATATAGAGAAAGTATGATACGACCATGTGAGGTATTTTTGAGAAACAAAGCAGTATCATATGAGCTAGAATGAAAACCAAGTGATGTAATCACAATGGAGAACTTTTCAAACCAAGCTCTAGGAGCTTGTTTAAGTCCGTAGAGGGCTTTCTTTAATTTACAAACTTCACCATGATTATGAGAGACACCTGGTGGAGGCACCATGTAAACTAGTTTGGCCTTATCCATATAAAACCTGCTAAGTACCCTTTTTACATACTCAACCTGAGAGAGTCTCAAAATATCTTTGACTCTATCTCTGACAATTCTCATACCAAACATTTGCTTTGCCGCTCCCAAATCCTTCATTGCAAAGAATAGAGGTGACTGCAACACGAATAGTAGTCATTTTGGCAACAGGAGAAAATGTTTCTTCATAATCTAGACCATATTGTTGAGAAAGTCCCTTAGCAACCAAACGAGCTTTATATCGCTCAACAAACCCATTAGACTTAGTTTTGATTTTATACACCCAACGAGAACCAATTGCATGTTTTCCTGGAGGAAGAGAGATAAGGTCCCAAGTATCACCCTACAAGCTCTTCTTCAATCTGCAAACTGACTCTTCTTTTCCTTGTACCACGAACTCTTCAGGTTGGTGCATGTAAATGTCTTCTTCAAGATCCCCATGAAGAAAAGTTGTTTTCACATCTAACTGCTCAAGGAAGAGATCTTCAAAAGTCACTATAGACAGTACCATTCTAATGGTTGTAAGCTTCACAACAGAAGGAAAATCTCGGAATAATCAATATCGTGATTCTGCTGAAAACCCTTTACAACAAGTCTAGCCTTGTACCTCTTACTATCATCATGCTCAGTCTTCACCCGGTACACCCACTTGTTGTGTAATGTCTTCTTCCCAGTTGGAAGATCTACTAACTCCCAAGTCTGATTTTCAAGCAGATAATTCATCTCCTCCTTCATGGCTAGCTCCTACTTGCTATGATATATGCTCAAGAAATACAACATGTTGTGAGACAAAAAGTTTTTGAGTGACAGGATCATAACAACGATACCCTTTTTGACCGTCACCATAACAAAGAAATACACAGATTGTCGAGCGCAAAGACAATTTATTACGTCGTACATGAGGAAGAAGAACAAAACAAGTAGAACCAAAAACTCTTAAAGCAGAATAATCAGGAGCATGACTATATAATTTTTTAAAGGGAGACAAACCTGAAGTAACAGAAGGTGGAATTCTGTTAATAATATAAACTCCAGTAAGAATAGCTTCCCCTTAAAATTCCCTTGGAACGGAGCCATACAAAAGAAGGGAACGGGCTGTTTCAACAATGTGACGATGTTTCCTTTCAGCAACTCCATTTTGTTCAGGAGTGTCAGTACAAGAAGTTTGAAGGAAAGTACCATCACATGCAAGTAATTCAGAGAATTTAGTAGAGGTATATTCACCTCCCAGGTCACATCGAAAGCATTTAATAACATCATTATGTTGAGTTTTGACAAATGCACGAAACATATTATAAACACTAAAAAATTCAGACCGATTTTTCATAAGATAAAGCCAACAATATCGGGTATAGTCATCAATGAACGAGACATAATATCTAGATCCACCTTTTGTAACAACAGGTGATGGACCCCATACATCTGAATGAACCAAGTCAAAAGGTGCAACAGAAAGTGAAACACTTTTAGGAAAGGGTAAAGCAGAAAATTTAGCAAGTTTACAACCACAACAGTCAGAAATATCACTAGTTTTTAACTCGCCCAAAGCGCCTGTAGAAACTAGGTATTTTAGACGATAAGAGGAAACATGTCCAATGCGAGAGTGCCATAAATAAAATTTAGAAGAAGATGAACTCAAACGAAAAGATGATAGGTCAACACTGAAAGCTGCAATATCTGGAACTCTCAGCTCATCCATAATATAAAGTTCACCTTGTCTACGGCCTGTCCCAATCAGCCTCTTGGATTGCGGATCCTGCACATAACAAGAAGTAGAAGAAAGTAAAACTGTGAAACCAGAATCACATAATTAACCAACAAAAACAAGGTTCAAAGTAAGACTGGGGATATAGTAAACATTTGAAAGGGATAAATGTGGTGTGCATACATATATAATGTCTGCTAATGACATATGAGTGCCATCAGCAGTCATGACAGATACAGATGATGCAAGATGTAAGGATACAAATGATGTAAAGTCAGATGACATATGATGAGAGGCTCCAAGAGTCAAGAATCCAAATGGAAGATGATATACCTGATGAGTTAGAAGAAGGCAAACCTATATTTGAGGAGGCAGACATGACATGTGGTTGTGTGGCAAGAAACTTTTGAAACTGTTCAACAAGCACAACTACTGCGGGACTTGAAAAATATGCATGTCCAACACCAGGAGAGTCTGTCGGAGGAACGACAGCTGCAACATTTGATGTTGAAGTCTTGAAGTTGCGTGGGTATAGCGGATTCAATTGTTGTGTTTGCTGAGATTTGTTCAACAACTTTCGGCATTGAGCTTTTCAATGACCCTTTTGCTTGCAGAAGCTACATTCATCAAAACCAATCTTTCCATGAGATTTACTTTTATTATGAGTAGCAGCAAAAACAGATGGATGATGGATTAGGAGAATCCCTTTCTCAACATTCCCTTTCTCAGATTGAGACTTGAGACAAATCTCTTCTAATAACTCATTAATAACCACAGAGTCAAATTTTGGAAGAGGATTGCGGTGTAAAATTGTTCCACGAAGCCCTTCAAAATCATTTCGAAGAGCCATAAAAAACTGAACCAAACGTTGTTCTTCTCTACGATCAGTGTATGATTTAAAAGCTCGTAATTTTGCAAATTCAGTAAGAGATAACTGATCCCAAAGATTAGTCATAACAGAATAAAATTCTTGAATGCTCATGTTGTTTTGTTGAAGAGCACGAATGTCTTTCTATAATTGATACTGCTTTGCAAAATTTGGCTGCACATATAATCTTTCCAAATGATTCCAAACTTCTTTGGCAATTTCATATTTTGATAATTGAACACCTATTGATTGTGAAACCGAGTTATTGATCCAAGTGATTATTTTTGAATTATTTGCTTCTCATACTTCCAACATTTCTTCATATTTTTCATCCTTTCCATTGATAGGCTTCACAGATGTTCCAGAAACATAACTCCACATTCTTTTTCCTTTCAAAAAATTCTTCAAAACATAACTTCAATAGGAGTAATTTTGTTCATTTAATTGGAAAGAAAAATAAACAAAGAAGAGGAAGATCAATACCAATAACGATAGATCGCTCGAAGAACTGCAACTACATGAAAGTGAACCTCTGCCTATAATCTTGAATAAATCATGCGCCTCACAAGCGCGACAAATGAACAAGATCAGTGAAAATCGCGAACAGAGAGGGAGGAGTCGCGAACTTGAGTGGCACAGATGGCAGGGAGAAGTTCGCGAACGGGAGTTGCGAACAGAGAGCAGAAGTCGCGAACAGAGAGCGGAAGTCGCGAACGGGAGTTGCGAACGGGAGTTGCGAACAGGAGTTGCGAACGGGAGTCGCGAACGGGAGTCGCAAACAGGAGTCGCGAACGGGAGTCGCGAACAGGAGTCGCGAACGGGATTCGCGAACAGGAGTTGCGAACGGGAGTCGCGATGATCGGGTGAGTCGCACAAATAGGGAGGAGTCGCGAGACAAGGTCTTCGTATGCCAGAAGGCAAGGGCTTCGTACGCCTTGAACAGGAGTTCTGCGTACCGAAGGACAATCCTATCGATGATCAGAACTGCTTTGATACCATGTTAACAATTGCAAAGGGAAGGAGATGAGAAAACAAGGGAGACAAAAAGTGGCTAGGGTTTCAAATCTATCCCATTACCTCATTACAAGAGTATATATATGTACAATATGGAAAAGACTAAACTACCCTTAATTGGTAAAACAATAGAAATACAAAACTATATTTAACATTAATAAGTTCCTTCATCATTCTCTTAAAACCACTTTTGGTTTGAGAAAAAAATGACGCATGTAGAGTTGATTCGATGATTGATATTACTTGTTGCGCAATAATAATTGAATGGTATTCAAAGCCATGATTACGAGATAGAGAAGGAGTGTAAAGAGGAGTAGTAGAAAAATGAAGAGAGATTTTGAATGGTTAAGAAGCCCCTCAGACAAACGACTTTAGATGTGTATTCTCTTCGATTACGATGCGCAATTGATCTTAATCATCTAATCCTTTTCTTACGGTTCAGATTATTGCGTGGTTGTAATTGACAGAAGTAATTGACTAATTTTATGATCTCATTTATCATATTGTGATAAAAGCAATATTAGAATGTGAGCGATTTTAAAAATTGGATGTCGGAAGAGAATATAACACAAAATTGGGTGAATTCTTTCAGTTCTTTTCAATGTCTTTGTACATTGAAAATGTATTAACACAAATCACAAAGACATCTCGCTGAGAGTGGGAGGAGTGATGTGGCCCAACGGGGCCTACCAAAGATGACCCGGAACTACACTATTAGCCGTCCACCCACATGTATCGGATAGATAGCGGGCCTCGGGAGGATAAAAGGCATACTACCCCTGGAAAATCCATCAGAGAATTAGTCACCTTTCAACTCAGATAGGACGAGAGAGTAAAGATGGATCTCGCAGTCCCAGGGCGGAAGGTGTGACTCCCCTGCAAATAACCGCCTGGGCGGACATTCGTCCGGCCTAATAACCATCCACTTAATAGCCCCTCGACCTAGCAACCGTCTGACTATGCTCATGGCCCCCATGCTTTATGTATGGATTAAAATACTCCCGTCGTACCTCTGTACTTTAGGGGTATAATATGTAATTAAACGATGACCCATTTTTATAAATAGGGATTCATATTATGAATAAATGTGTTGAATTCTAACTTGTGTTTTGGTAAGCACACCCGGAGAGTTGGAATAGAGAGAGGCCAGGGAAATAGAGGGGGATGGAGAGAGGGTGTTGTAATTTCCTCAAGAAGAAGCCAAAGAGTATCCCCTTTATTCTTCTTGAGATTGCCTATCTAAAGGGGTTATATTAGTATAATTAAGGAAGGTGCGAATCATTATGATAACCGCT